AGTGGATAGATATTTGGCGAGGACAATTAACAAGACTATGGGGGAATGGGAATGATTTGGATAGCTCTTTCAAAGAGCCAGCACAGACACAGTGGGCTGAATGGCCTCTTTCTGTGTTGTATAATTCTATGATTCTACATCCATCAGGGATTTGGATTGCAGGATAGAGGACAAGTGTTCATCTCAAACTCTACCTTGTTTTACTATGGAAATATTTTTGTCAGACATGTCTATGGAACCAATTCAGTCCCAGGTTACTTCCCCTCACAGAAAAACATTTTATGAACATAACACTTATTTTCATCAAACTCAAAAGGGTGAAAGGTTGATTGGATCCAATGGAGGAACCTGTTCCAAATCCGGTACACAGTCAACTAATCTATGACAAAAAGGCTGAGAATTAAACATTTACACTGTTTATTACTTTGTAAGACAGAATCACAATTCTCATATTTTTAGTCAGTACCGTGCTGGGGAACATTTTGGTATTGAATGGGAGCTCCGCATCCTGCCAACTGCACAGTTACAGTTCTTAGAGCACAGCAGATTACCGGTGGTCTGGATAAGTAATATTAGCAATATGACAAAGGGGTTTAAGTTAGTAAAAGTAACAAAGCAAATCACTAGTTCCAATAGATCCCATAATACAATTTGAAAAGAGAAAGGAGATTCTCCTGGTGACCTGGTCAACATCCCTCTGTAAAATTAGTCATTCATATCATGGTTTGTGGGACATTGTTGTGCACAAATTGGGTGACACATTTGCCCACAAAACACAGTCAGTCACTTCACAGTATATCCTGTGAAGTGCTTTAGGATGTGTCCCTGACATGAAAGGCATTGTACTAAATGCATAAATTATAATAATAATAATATCAAATATTTACTTACATTGGTGGAAATGTTATGCATTTAGAATAACATGAGTAGCAATAATGTGTACATTGAAAGAAAATAGTCTATCATGTCTCTCTAAGCAACTAAGTCCTTCCTGAATCTCTCAGACCCTATTCGAGTTGGTTATTCTTCCCACAGATATCCTTCTGAATATCATCTGAGGCCTATCTTGACAGCTGTGTGTAGCTCACCCCAATTACTAGTCACTCTAAATAAGTGCATTCAGCACTTACTTGATGTGGCACACTTGTTGCTATCTACATTTACCAATTGTGTGTCACTTACTGTGCTATAAGAGGTTAAATGTCCCAGTCGTGTATCAATTCTTTACCTGCCTGTTGGATTTATGAAAGTGTGCAGCATTTGAGGAAGGAAGGAGGCAATCAACAAGCAAAGGGCTCATTGTATGTCCCTCCTTCCTACGGATATCCTTCTGATATCAGCAAAGGGGCTGCATCACCCCCTACAGGTGAACAAGAATGACCATTTTGATGTAAGGTTCCAGTGACTGATGGTTCTGCGTAATTGTTCGGAGCATGAGTGAGTGCCCTGAGGAGAAATAGGGAGAAAATTGAACAAGAAATAAAAACATTGAGTTGATCGCCCTAAAGTCTCCTGTTCCTCAATTTTTTTTCTTTCTAAATATGTTTTTAAGTTTGGCGGGAGATTCATTGCTAGATATATGCATATTTTTATGTGCTATATCATTGTACCATTATCACAGTAATTGCATTCCGTCAGTCTTGTTTTTCATTATTATCATGTATTAATTCCTTAATTGTAATATTTAAGTGCTCAGATTTACCATGTGTATGTTTAATGAGGTGCAAAATTTTATAATAAAAAGTTATTATAACTTAATTTCAAAGTTTATCTTCAATACACTGTTCAATTCCAAGTGGCATTAGTGCAAACTGAGGATCAAGTATGTAGTACTCTGAGTTTGCATGTCTGAGTTTGACACAAGATGATGACATTAACAATCAAGGGAGTTTTGAGAGATTTATGAAATCTCATCTACCCATATTCATATTTTGGATTTCCTCATAAAAATATGTACTAGTTGCTAATACATTTCACCACTCAACTTCAATTTTAATGAAATAACAACTTTCACAATAAAAATGATGAATCCTTAATTTGCAAGTTTATATTCAACACATTGTGACTTGCATTATTTACATTAAGTAAACTTTTGATTTACATGTGCTGATTTACTAAATCCTGATTTAATTACATCATTGTTGAAATATTTGTTAGTACATCAAAGCACATTTTCTCTATTAAAGTAAATACATTTTGGACTTTTCCGAAAACACTTTATTTAGATTTAGTACATTAAATCCTGCCCTTGATCCATTTAATCTCTCCAGGAAAACCCTCTGATTCCCAAAGATTTTCAAGCAAAATATTCTTCCACATCACATCTCCACTATTTAAACCTGACCCAGTGGCCTACACAAATAACATCGCTTTTCCCACTCGAGAGGTACAGCAACAAATGTCTCTGAAATATTTTATCATCTATTACCACTTTTACATTGTGGTCCCTGAGGTTTGAAACGTGATGACAAACAAAATAAGCAAACATTTCTAAATGAAGAGATTCCAATCAGCAGAAAAACTGGCAACATTTTAGAAAGCTCAAACATTAAGAAACTGAAATTCTTGTACTTTTGCTGGTTCATTTGAAACCTACAGGTATAATAATAAAAATTATCCGACTAAGCAAGTATATGTGTACAATACAATGCTAAATAATAATAATCCTTACATTTGATTCTAGCGGTTTTCACGTCGGAAGGATAAATCTAAACAATTGTATTCTATAAAATATAGACTTTACTGTATATTTTGTATCAAATGCAACAGCCAACTTGCACTCAGCAATGTCCCAAAATCAGCCATGAAGTGAACAACCAATATAGTGAATAGTTTCTGTTTTTCTGCATGAATGTTTATGTTTGCACAATCTCTTAATGAATGTATAGTAAATACATGCAATCCCTGAGTGGCAGTCTAAATGTATGCTAGGTACTTACTAGGTGTGTATATGTGTAATGCATATAAGTGTGTGTATCTAAATGTTTACAATGGATGATCACAGTGAACTCCTGATAACTCGATCCTGGCTTAACTTGTCACTACCATTTAAGTCATCATGATGTCAATATCTTGCACATTTATTTATGTATTAATGCATATGCCTAAATCACCACTCCAGATAACTCATCATTGAACCCTTTTCCCTTGGAGTTTACTGTACTACCAGTGTATAAGTTCATAAGGTTGCAGTACAGTGAAATTCAGTGAATTGAATATCGGATATTTGAACAGTTCGGTTTATTGATTAGAATTTAGAAATCCCAAATCATTTGCACACCTTATCTAAGTATATAGATCGGTTAATTGAATACCAGATGCACAAATAATTTGGTTTATCAAATAATTGCCCAAGTGACCATTCGTAGAAAAAGCAATTAATCTGAGTCCAGATAAATAATGCCAACTCCAGATCACACCAATACAACACAGCACGAATGTCAGGGTCCTCTCCTCCCTCCCCTTGTGTTGGATGGTTGGCCTTGTGTGAGTGGGGATGTGTCTGTTTGGGTTTCACGTTCTGGTGCAGTTGGAGGCCGGGTGGCTCAAGGTCTGGGAGATGAGGCTCCTCTTATATTTAGTCCAGTTGTACGAATAGTTTGGTTTATTGAATAAATTTCGCTGTCAAATTGAGTATTCACTGAACAGAATCTCACTATATCTGAACGAGTGTGTATGTGTGTAAGTATTGATGTGGACAAAATACTCAGTAAAGTGTACACTTTACAGTGTATCATGTGAAGCGCTTTGACATCCTTCCAATGTAAAAGGAGCTATAACGAATGTAATGATTATTATCATAAACATCCTGTACTGGTTATATTTACAGTATAACCAGTACGCAATGTTTTTGGAAATGGAAATATGTAATAATAATCCTTAATAATCTTTGCATTTGTATAGCGCCTTTCATGTCAGGAGGACGTCGCAAAGCTCTTCACACTGCAAAGTTCAGTGACTGTATATTGTTTCGTAGGCCTTTTTGTTTGTCAGCCGGGTGTCTGACACATGCGGAAACCCATCACCATCCTTAAGAGTATCCGAACCAAGCCGGGATTTCCACGCATCCCACCTACACCTACACCTGGAAATCCCAGGGATAGATTGTTGGAATGAAATGCGCACTCTCTCCCTGGAGGGACACATCCTACTCACCTAAGTCCAGGAAGCATTAGGCGCAGGTTGGCAAGAGTCCAGGCTTGGGGACCCCCAGTTTGAGGTAACTGCTGGAGTCCAAGCAGCTAAAACCACAGAGCTGGCCAGGGATGTGTAAATTATATTTACAGTATAACCAGTATGCAATGTTTTTGGAAATGGAAATATGCAATAATAATCCTTAATAATCTTTGCATTTGTATAGCGCCTTTCATGTCAGGAGGACGTCGCAAAGCTCTTCACAAAATGTGGAGTCCTGTAGCTCAGTGGTTAGAGCACTCGCTTTGCAAGTGAGAGATCGGAGTTCAATTCCAGGCAGAGGGTGAAACCTTGGGCGAGTTTCCTTACTCCACACAGAGCCTAATAATAATCCCTCCAAAACCAAAAACAATAATAAATTGGTCATTTTCAATCTACGACTGTTTGTGGGACATTGCTGTGCGCAATTGGCTGCCGCGTTCGCCCACAAATATACAGTCAATTCACTTTACAGTGTGTTCTGTGAAGCGCTTTGGGACGTCCTCCCGACGTGAAAAGCGCTATATCAAATGCAAGGATTATTATTATTATTATTATTATGATGTGGCGAGCTCCAGCCATGAGTGGGTTTGCCCTCACGCACAGTGTGGCCTCTCTGCCACCAGGGACCACTAGTGGGATGTTGCAGAGGCTGAGAGGGGCGCTGGTCTCCGCGGTGTGTAACGGGGATGCGAAGGAAGGAAGGAAGGAAGGAAGGAAAGGAGAGGAGCAGCCAGTCAGTGAGTGGGTGAGTGGGTGGGTGAGTGAGTTGGGGGTGGGAGGCAGCGCTGAGGACTCCCTCCCTCACTCCCTCCCTCCCTCCGCAGTGTGCAGTGCAGTGCTGTGCAGTGCAGTGCTGTGAGCTCAGGATGTACGAGGAGAGCGCGGCTCAGCTCAGACCCCGCTATGGATGTGAGTAATTCAGTAACACTTTCGAGTGAGTGAGTGAGTGAGTGAGTGAGAGAGAGAGAGAGAGAGTGAGTTGATTGCACCGAAGGCTACATTTTGCACAGAGGGGTTACTTTATATCAAGAAACACGCGGATCCCCACAAACTGCAACAGTTTTGTAACACAAAATAAACACCAAACCCAAAGCCAATCTCTCTCTCCTCTCTCTCTCTCACTCACTCACTCTCTCTCTCTCTCTCACTCTGTCTCTCTCTCTCTCACTGACTGTCTCGGGCTCTTGATGCACAAACACATCAGAGGTTATTTTTTTCTCTCTCTCTCTCGACGTCTTTGCAAACTCTTTGCACCTCAGAGGTTATTTTTTTCTCTCTCTCTCTCTCGACGTCTTTGCAAACTCTTTTGCACCTCAGAGGTTATTTTTTTCTCTCTCTCTCTCGACGTCTTTGCAAACTCTTTTGCACCTCAGGTGTTTTTTTTTCTCTCCCGTGCAAATCGGGTCTCTTTTTTTTCGTGTCGTGAGGTTTCCGGTTTCCGCTGAAATCCTCTTTTCGTTTCAAAAAAAAAGTGGGTTTTTTTTTTATTTTTGGGGGTGTGTGTGTGTTTTTTTTTGAAAAAAAATGAAGCCACCGGTTGCTCACCTGAGGGTGAGGCTCTCTCTCTCTCTCTGTGTGTGTGTGTCACTCTCTCTCTCTCTCTCTGTGTGTCACTCTCTCTGTCTGTCTCTCTGTCTGTCTCTGTCTGTCTGTCTGTGTTGCTGTCTGGTAATTCAGGGGGTAATTTATCTATTTCTGGGTTTTTTTTTGGGGTGGGGGTGAAAGAAAAGTTTCTTGGTCAAAATATGTGAACTTCCAGCAAGAGTTGTGAGTGTCAAAAGTGTTGCAACCTCCTCCCTCCCTCCCTCCCTCCCTCCCTCTCTGCGGTTGCGGGGAATTGGGTCAGACGGAGCGGGAGCTGGCGAGCAGCGTGTGGCCGGATTGCAGGTTCCTGTGGGTCAGATGCAGATCACAGGTCCGCTTTCCCCCCACAGAGCCGGGCAGGGTCACAGGCTCCTCTTAAAGGCGGACTTACAAGACCTTCAACCTAAAATACCCACCGCAACGTGTGCTGTTGAAGAGGGAGGGGTGGGGGTACATTCAAAACAAATCTATAGAACTGGCTTCCCGAGGGAGGCGGTGGAAGCAGAAAGTGTTGATTCTTTCGAGAACGAATTGGATAGATTTCTGTTAGGTAATAACATCTTGGGATACGGTATATAGTTTGGGACATAACATGTGCACAAGACTATCGGGATGGTGGAAGGCGAACTGAAAAGACCTTGGTCTTCTTTCGTCTAGCGATTCTTATGTTATGATCTAATTTACTAACAACAAACTCTCCAGATCGTTGCAGTCTTGTTATGTTTCCTGGTGGTTCAGGTTCATAACTGAAGCTTGTGCGCAATGATCTCGGGAAACCGTTTAAATGAGCATTTTTTTTATATGCACAGTCACATTATTTATTTATGATTATTTTTCAAAAAGAAAGATTGTGCTTAAGTGATTGTCAGTTGTCTGGGGAAAATGCATCAATAAAACCGTATGTTCTCCATTTGTACATGCACCTCAAGGGTTAATTGAGAAATCCGCAGCTCTTAGGTGATCCTCTTAAGCAAAGCTATTTGTTTTGCTGGTTATATAAAACTTTGCATTTTTGAAACTATTTGGTTTGAAAACCTTAGACTATAATCCCAGTTTCCAGCCTGCACAAGACACACCACTCAGACTACTTTTTTTCAGTATTTATCAAATTGTGGAAAGATTACTAATACAAATTTAAAAGGTCTAGTCAAGAAGTGGAAGCTTTCACACAAATAATGGGCTGGTGGTTTTATCTGTGGGCACAAAGAATTGGAGATGCTGTAATTTGCTGCTCTGCTCCAGCCTCAATATAGCAGTTAAAAAGCAGGTGTACATTTTTATTAATAATTTATGGAGTTCAGATTATGAATTATAGATTTTCAAAAGCTCTTGGAAGCTGTAATGCATTTTTTCCCAGTAGGCAAAACTTCACATCAGAATAGTATGTGTGTGACAAATGCATTATGACCATTGTTTCATTTGAGCTTAAGAAATTTAAGGAGAGAGTCAACAAATTTTAGACTGTAGGATCAGTCAGTCAGGTCAGGATTTTGTATGTCCTGCACACAATATTAGGACAGAAGTTTGTACTAAAATTAACACATTTGAAATAAAATAATAAATATTTCAGTTGAATGAATTGCAAGACCTGGAGTCCTGTAGCTCAGCAGTTAGCGCACTCGCCTCGCAAGAGAGAGACCTGGGCTTGATTCCTGCCCTTTTTTGTGAAAGGAGCTATACAAATGTAATCTTGTTGTTGTTATTGTTTACCTAGCAGTAATTAGGAACCCGATTGTTAGTCGATTGGCAGATTGCTTTTCCGGGGGTAATAATTCATCTTGACCACCTCTGTTCTGCTCAGAATAAAATCTGTTAATGAGGGTGGTAATTGACACCCAGAAAACTCCAGCCTAGAACAATTCTGAACCTCAAACACTGATCAGTATTGACCATGGATTCATCCGCAGAGCTAATGTATGTTGAAAGTCGGTGTAACAACAACTTGCACTTATATAGCATCCTCCACGCAGTGTAGTGTCTCAGAGCGCTTAACAGGGGCGGAGCCTGACTCCACTCCTGGGGGAGGGAGGTAGGTGGCCGTAAGCACTGTCGAAGAGAAGAGTTTTCAGGCGCGACTTGAAAAAGGGGAGAGAAGGGGCAAGGCGGAGGGATTGAGAGAGAGTGTTCCAAAGTTTCGGGGCGCAGTGGCTGAAAGCGCGACCTCCGATGGTGGGCGGAGAGTGCGAGGAACTAGCAGGAGGCCGGTGCCAGTCGAGCAGAGGCGCCGGGAGGTGGCTTGTTAAATGTGTTTCAACAAATGTATGGGGTAGTGAGTCTACTGAAGGCTCATGTGAATATGGATAAATCCTATGATGTCACAAAAGTCAACATTTCCTGGTGCTTTGAGCATTCGGCCGTGGTTTGTAGAATGGCTAAATAAATTAACAGAGCACATCCGTTTCAACCAAGTTTGGCCTCATGACTTATGCTGCAATTCTGACTCACAGTTCATTTTGGTACCATACTGAGGAAAAAGATTGTGATGCCACTGGAACAGGTGTGTTTCTCACTATTTTTCAGGCAATTATTTTCAACAATAACAACTTACATTTGTAAAGTGCCCTTCACGTGGGGTAGTGTCTCGGAGCGTTTAAGTGTCAGAGGCTGATGCTGAGCCAGGGGGGCTTAGGTGATCGTAAGCACAGTCGAAGAGGAAGGTCTTCGGGTGTGATCTGAAAAAAGGGAAGAAGGGGGCAAGGCAGAGAGATTAAGGGAGAGAGTTCGAATGTTTCAGGGGTGCAGTGGCTGAAAGCATGACCACCAATAGTGGAGTAGAAGGGATGAAGGACAAGAATGAGGCTGGAGCCAGCCGAGCAGAGGCAGTGGGTGGTGAAGTGGGAAGTAAGCAGGTTGGAGAGAAAGGAAGATGCAAGGGTGTGAGGGGATTTGTAGACGAGTGTGAGTAATCTTGAAGTCGATCCGTTATGTGAAAGGGAGCTGGTAGAGCCTAGTGATGACTGGTGTGATGGGGGTACGGAATTTAGCCTGGGTGATTATATGGGTGACGGAGTTCTGGATTTTATGAATAGTGGAGCTGGGGAGACCAGCGAGGAGGGTATTTGAATTTGAGGATACAGGTTCAATAGGTCTTGGGGAAAGGCCGGATAGGTTGAGGAGGTCAGAGCCGCAGAAGAGAAGATGTTGATGGGAGCCAATGAGTATGGCCAATTTGAGCCAATTTGTAGAGTCCTGTAGTTCAGTGGTTAGAGCACTCGTTTTGCAAGCGAGAGACCTGGGTTCGATTCCCAGGAGGGTGAAATCTTGGGCAAGTTTCCTTACTCCACGCACCTGATAATAATCCCTAAAAAAACAATAATAAATTGGTTCATTTCAATCCGCCACTGTTTGTGGGACAGTGCTATGCGCAACTGGCTGCCGCATTTCGCCCACAAAATATACAGTCAATTTACTTTACAGTGTGTTCTGTGAAGCGCTTTGAGATGTCTAGAAGATGTGAAAAGTGCTAAATCAAATGCAAAGATTATTATTATGGCGTTCAGCTTCAGGAAGTTTACACCTTAACTGCAGTTGTTGATATATCCAAATATGCATTGGTAAATATAGACTTCAAAAGAAGTTACAAGAACCTGACGGTGCTCGAAATGTATACTGCACTGAAGTAAGCGTGTGGTTTTCAGTAGGCAGAATGTGGTTTCTCCTCATTTCTCTGGGCACAGTTTCTAAGAATCATATCCCTACTGCTTTGTACAAATGTTTTCCTGTGAATTATTCATTTATCTATTAGAATTCTGTTAGATGCTCAGTCATATAAACCAGGAAAATCACAGATTTTGTTCTTGGTCCATGCTGAGTTGGCAGGTTTCAGTGGGGCCCAGCAGGGGTATTGTATTTAAGCCTCTGTGACTCTGGCTCAGAAGGTGAAAACAACTCTGGATTCCTTTTGATCGCTATCCAGTGAGTTGTGCTGGAAAATGTATTTGTGTGTATTTTAGGTGAAAACAAGACTGGCCCTGGCTGTGATACTTCTGATCCCCAGGTTTAATTGGGATTATTGGAGCTGATCATCAGGGATGTGTATATTTTGTGTTTGATATGTAATAATAATAAATAATAATCTTTGCATTTGATAAGGTGCCTTATCACATCCTTGAGATGTCTCAAAGCGCTTCACGAAGTACATTGTAAAAAGTGCATTGACTGTAGTTTGTGGGCAATTTTGTGTATTTTATATTTCCCACAAATTCAAACATCTAGTGCTTCACATGCTTTATGAGATTCACAACTGTTGGAAAATATTTTCAATCTTATTTCATGATTCTCATCCATTTAACGCTCCGAGACGCCGTCTGGGATGGAGGGCGCTA